TACATAGCTCTCATCAGCTTGGTACTTGGTTTGAGAAGAAACACTTTGTATTCAAATATATTTCAGTTGGGTAGTAAGATTCCAAGAGAGAAAGAACAAGTGACCATTTGAGATTCTTATACTTACAGGGTACTGTGAAAAACAAACAAACCAAAAGCAAAACAAACAAACAAAACTCCTTGTCATCTCAGGTCCCAGGCCACCAAGACAGGAGGATCACAAGTTTGAGCCCAGTCTAGGTTACACAGTGAGACCCTGTCTCAAAACAAAACAAAAGTGATGAACAACTATAAAAAGTTAAACGGCGTGAAGACTGTTTTTATGAGAGCCAATTCTTTGGCACAGCTGCCGCTGAGTCAACGGTGTGAACCCAGAGGGAGGCTGTGGCAATCCTCACTCTGTCAGCAATGCCGGTCAGCTCCCAGGTTCCTTAGAAACCAGGACTTGTCTTGTTTTGCACTGTTCTTAAGAAGCTGATACAATTATTTGAGTGATGGTTTACAATCGTTTCCCTCCAATAATACCATTGTTGATGCCTGCCAGTCAGAGTACACGTAAGGTATACAATGTATCGGATACACCGCGCTGGGGCTTCTTTTGATTAGGTCTTTATTACGTTTCATTGGTTGATGATATTTCTAGAAACTTCAGGATAATAACACAGTTAGAGACAACTTTTAGCCTCAGAGCTGTACAGGGATTGCTGTAAATGCTCCAGGAAGTGTCTGCTGTCCACACAACCACAGTGGTAGCTAACACTAAGTCCAGCTGGCGTTAGGCACTGTGCCTGATATTTAACTCAGATGATTCATGTAACTCTTATATCAGTGCTGTACATTTTATTCTTTCATAGTTTTTCTACTTTCCTAAGATAAGGTACTTTAAAATTATACTCAACAAATGGAAGTCGGTACTTAAACACAGTAAGGAACAAAAGGGGCACACATAGTTGTGTGTGTCTGTGTGTGAAAGTCAAAGGTCACTGTTGAGTGTCTTTCTGGACTATCCTCTATCCATCACTGTTTGAGACAGAATCTCTCCCAGAACCGAGCTCACTCATTTGCCTGAAATGTGTGAATGATTTCCAAGGACTTGCCTATCTCCACTGGCTCCCAAGTACTGGGGTAACAGATGGATCAGCATGCCCAGAGTTTTACACAGGTGATGGGAATCACAAGTCAGGACCTCATGTTTTGGCAGCATTTATATTAGCCACAGAGCCAGTTCCCCAATGTTGGCTATGAAGCACTTTCTGGAACCCTCCATATTTACACTAGGCAGAAGAGATGATTCAGTGTTTTCTAACTGAGTAGGTAACTGTGAGGAATATCTCGCAGCAATGCCCATCCTTTATAGGGATCTTTGAATTACTTTCCATCCCTAAAGGCAACTTTGTTCCTGTTAAACCTCAAACCTGGCACAACGTTACAACCAATACGTCATTCTTATTGCACGCATCAATTAGGAAACAAGGCCACTTTGATTTTAGTCAACTGTTCTTTGAATACCCTCTTTACCTTTAATGTGTACATGGCGTCTTCAGTTCTACATATGACTCTCCCTTCCCCATGTTTGATTTCACCCATGTCACAAATTTTATTTCTTGTTTCATATTTGACCAGACCTAACAGTTTCTTTCTACCCAGTTGCCACTTTTCCTTTTATCAGTCTGTGCCACATTCAACTGATGAGGCAACATAGGAGCATAGCCATGGATACCAAAGATGTCATTGATACCACTAATGTTCCAGGGGCTAGGGAGCAAGGGAGAAGACTCATATAGACCAGTGTGACTGAGGTACTGCACAATGTCATTATGGAAATATCACAGTTTCAAAGATGGAAAATATTTGACAAGTATATGGTCTAAAATAGAGGAGATTGGAGATCTGTTAAAACTCTTAATTAAAAAATTATTACATTTGTTTTCTATAGTCATGGAGAGAATAAAGTACTAAAATATATTAAATAGTGTGCTTAATTTTAGACTTTAAACTTTTCAATTAATTAATTTAAAGTTTATTTATTTATTTTAATTAATTAACTACTGTGTCTCTCTGGCTGGCCCAGAACTTGCTATGCAGACTACATTGGCTTGGAACTCATAGATATCTGTTCGTCTCCACTCCTGGCCCCAGGTATTGAAATTAAACAGTGTATCATACACCTGGCCTTTTACCAGCATTTTAATGAAATGTTTGCGTTGGTTTCGTTTTGACACGGAAACATACAAATAGTGTTAAAGGATAATTTAACTATGGTAAATTTTTGCAAGATTTGAAAACTGGGTTCATTCCTCAGAAATGACCCAAGCTTCAATATTGATAGCCCCCAACCTACCCAGGACTTGTCAAGAAGCTCTGACCTAGAACATGAGTCAGTGTGGAGGAATGGATACTTCCAGTCCTTTCCTTCCTGTCTCCTCCCCTCCCCTCTCTCCCATCCTCTCCCCTCTCCTCCTCTCCCCTCCCTTCACCTTATCTCTCTTCCTCCCCTCCCTTGTCTTCTCCTCCCCTCCCTTCCCCTTTTCCCTCACCTCTTCTCTCTTCTTCTCCCCTCCCTTCTCTCCCCTCTCCCCTTCCCCCTCTCTCCCTCTCTTCCCCTTTCCTTCCCTCCCCTCCCCTCCTCCCCCCTTTCTCCTCTCTCACATTTTCACACAGTTGATCACTGACTTACTTCAGGAACTGACTCAAGCCCCAACCAAACATGAGAAACCATTCTCCTAACCCTCCAGAGCTGGGAAGCAAATGAGAAATAGACAGTCATGACAGGCAACATGACAAGTTGCAGCTAATGGATAGACACCACAATGGGGACTGCTATCACACAAGGTGGCAAGGGTCTTCCCATACTGAATGTGCTGTGTTGGGTCTGCAGCTCTCCACCCTAAATCTCTTTGGTGTTCCCTAGCAACAGAAGCAAAAGATCACATTAGAAAAGTGTTTTCCAGAACATTCCATCTAGCTACTCGCCAAATCACGTTGGTTTATATGATCAAGTGAATGACTTTTAAGATTTGTCACTGGCTGTCATGGGCTGCAAAGCTGGAAGAACATGACTTGATATGTACTATAGTCTGTGCTGATGGACTCCACCTCCATCCCAAACAGGGACCGCTTTCAGGAAGAATTAGTAGTCTCCATGTCTCACTGGGAGCCAACAGTGTTGCTAGGGAAACTGATAATTATGTGGCAAAATGGCGGGTGCATATGTAAGATTTTGATCAAATCAGCATGCTAATAGTACATTTGTTGATCTTCTGTAGTCATATAATTTAATAAATGCCATTAATTATATGTTTGACAAGACACTGATTTCCAAACAGAGAAATGAAAACCAGAGCAAGGCTACTAGTTACTGATCATAGCCTGTCTATACGACAGCAAGGCCTTATGTTTATAGTGAACTACAATTAAACTCTAAGCACTCAGAAGGGTTTTAAAAACTCACATGGGCTTGATTTCTGATCCTTCCCTTTAGACTTCAATCATATGCCTTTCCAGGTATAAAAGCCATAGCTGCAACGGCCAACAGCCTTACTTACCCGCCTCCCAGTCACATGGTGCCATGCTACTCTGGTAGGCTGGAGAACAGAGCACTGTTGCCCCCACCATTATATGTCACACAATAAGGCCAATCCAGAGCAGCCGGGGACACTCCTGAGCAAAGCTCTCAGTGGTGTGCCAGTGCAGCACTTCCTTGCCAACTGCCTTGAGGCGTAACTTATAAACTATCCCTCACTTAGGGACAACCCAGCAGAAAGACATATAACTAGTGGATGCATTCAAATCATTAAACATAAGCTTCATTTATAAATAAACATTCTCAAGACTTTGCACTTTCAATGATGAAGACGTTATTTCTAAAGTTAATGCAAGGCTACAAACCACTGCTTATGAGAGAATAATCTCTCTGGAAACATCTATGTGTCTACGTGTGTGCACATGTATGTTGGAGTCAAGAGTTGACCTTATCTGTCATTCCTCAGGAAGAAATAATTTTATTTTTTAAAAGGTCTGTCAGTGAACATGGAGTTTTAATTCAGCTAGGGTGGATGGGCAGAATGTCCCAGAGACCCTCTGATTTCTGCTCCTTCTCCTAGCACTGGGTTTATATATATGCACCTTGTTGTCCATGGCTTTTTACCTCAGTGCTGTGAATCTGAACCGAGATCCTTATGCTGGGCAGAGAACACTTTACCAACTGAGCCATTTCCCCAGCCCCAGAAATATTTTAATAGGAGAGAAAGATCATGAAGGGGGAAAAAAAAGGAACAGCTCAAAATAATATGAGTTTTGCTATAAGTCATGTGACCAAGTAAGTTGTGGACTGGCTGCAATACTGCTCTTGAAGAACATCTTTCCCAGCACCGCCATACAGTCATGTAAAACAAAGAAATGAAAAGTCCTCCGCTATGTGCAATTATGTGCACACATTCTTTCACATTTGTAATGGATAGCTATACTGCTACTAATACAGTGCTCATTTCACACGGGTCTGTCCACACTGAATGAAATGTGAGTGTAGGAGAACAGGTACATGATATAGATGGACCATGGTTGTGTTTGATGCCATATTTCTTCCGTACTTGATTTTAGACAAGATGGCCATGGGAAGTACAGGTAGGCCCCAAGATAAAAAACAGAACTGAAGGGGACATCTTACCTAAGTGAGTCTGGAATGCTAAAAACAGGCAGCCAGTTTTCTGATGCTGGAGCGACATATTTACTCCTCGGGTGGGGACTAGGAGAAATGGACTATTACTTCTGATTCAGTTTAATAAGTGCACTTATTCATGACACTTTAAGATAACGCTTGGGTTTGCCTTTATTTGAAGTTTGTCATTTTACACTGAAGCATTTATGTTTGATTCGAGCTAACATGACAGGCTCTTATCATGAATACTCATGGGTTGGAGCTTTGGAATCTCCAAGTCAGAAGAACTTATGTCCTGCTTACACCATCAGTAACAAGGAAGTTTTAGGTGAGGCTAGACCAACCTTGGCTTAAGCCATCCTGACTGGATGTTTGCTTGACTTCCACATTCTCCATAGTGTCTCCTTTTGAGACTTCCCCGGGAGATGGTCTTCTCTCAAAGATGTTGTTGTTGTTGTTAACCTGGGTCCCATTTTGCTTTAGTAGTCTGAACACCTCAGCCTCCAAATCTCGAATCTAGAAAACAAAACTCCATTCATAAATTGGACTATCCTGCACTCCTCTGGGCAGAACTGCCTCTCCATTAGTGCCTGTGAGAACTTTACTCACCCGAACTTGCAGGCCTTGGACTTCAACCAGGTGAGCTTTTTCCACCTCCTCCAGCTTCTTTCTTTCTACTTCCTGTCTCTTGATGAAATCAAGCTCTCTAAAGGAGAAAATAAGAGGCTCAATTGTAGAGAACATTCAATAAGTGCGGAAATGTGAAAATTCTTTCAGAAGCACTCATGTACGCTCCGGGATAAACACTTGAGAGCTGTTTAAATAAATGAAACTCAAATATAGTTAGTGGGAAAGTTTATGGTGACAAATGAAAAGATACCTTTAATGATTTCATCACAAATACGGAAAGTATTTTGATTTTTCTCAGCATGCTGTTCACCTAGAGTGCCTGACCAGGAGCCTGCAGGCTCGTGGGCACAGGAGTTACGGTACGAATGACTCTGTGGGGAATTTAATGGTGATAACTTCCTGTGAGCAGAAATGATTCTATACTTCCAATACATAACAACGGATGAAAGCAGACAGTCAGATCTGGAGAGTTACTTGCAGAGAGAAATCAGTGGAGGGGCACAGAGACAACTGTCACACCTCCACAGGTAACACAGGAAAAGGGCACACCCTCCATTCCAAAAGCATATCTGATCATTTCTTACAGCTAGAACAGTGTTGTTAGCAAAAGCTTGCAATGGATTGAGTTCATAATGACAAAGAACAATCATCTCTTTCAAGTAATTTCTTAGAGCTATTTGTTTCAACTAAGATATTACCTCTAAGACAGGAAAGAAACAAGATGACTGACACACATACTTAGCTTCTGAGGCTTGTCACAGAAAACCACCAGAGTTGCTGGTGTTTGGCCTAGAGAGTCACCAGTAACTCATGAAAATCCCTCTGGGCATGCTCACTAACAGCAAGGCCCAGGAGGAGGAGAGGAAGATGCACAGCTCGGAAGTGAGCTGCTGAAATTTCACAGCAGGGTGTGGAGAGGGTCTGCTTTAGTGTGGTGACCTGAGTCCCCTCCCCACCCCAACCCCCAGAGCAGTACTGAGAAACACAAGGGTTGTAAGGGTCTTGCAGGTTAATGTTCACACTGCCTGTAGAGGCAGGGTCTGTGGTTATCGATTTTAAGAACACAGACAGAAGCCCATCCAGACCTCAACTGCTCCTCTGCATGCAGCATGCCCAACTGTCAGGTGAGCATCCTGCACAACCTCAGCCACACTCCTGGCACCTAAACCCTAGAGATGCTTTTCAAAAGAACCAACAAGTCTCAGTGTCTTAATGGCGACTGTCAGAAACTGAGGCAGAGTCAACTGGCAGCACACAAAATGTTTCCGTGAGAAAAAGCTCCTCCCTTAATCCATGATGGCTATGATCTGAAAGAGACAGCCCAGCCTGTCCTTCCCACACCTCTAACTAGAATAAACACGCCAAGGACAGGCCTGCTTCTCACACACGTCTGTGCTGTCGCTTGGATCATCGGAGAACGCTTACTTTTGTTGAAAATCCTTGATCAACTTCTTGGCTTTGTTGTACTTCTTCTCCAAGGCCTGATACTGGCTTTGGGTCTCCTTCAGATGCTCGTTCACGGTGTGACATAATGTCTGAGCCTCGATCCAGTAGCTCTCCAACTTTAGCATCCTTTCTTTATTCTCCTCTATATTCTGCTGCAGTTGGTTCTTTTCTAGTTCCCACCTTACTTTCTCATTTTCTGCCGCTTGCAGCTGGAGAAAACAAATATCAAGGCAAAAATAATTTGGGTATGTCTGTACCACCATCTCTCTACACTGTCATAGCTTGTTTTAGATAAAATCCTATTGTCATGTACGATCAGTCAGTCATCAAAACAGCTTGAGACCAGAGAGCAACAGTTCTTTCCATATCCATAGAGGATAAAATGGAAGGCTTGAAAAGGGAAATGATTTGCTTAAGTTTACCCCTCTGATAAATGACAAAACACCAATCTGACTTGAACTCCGATAAACTCTTTGATAGCATGTAGTCTGAAATACTGCGATCGGGAAATGATGTCTAGTGCATCACTGATTAGGTCCATTAATGTCGACACACTTCATTTGAAAGCATGTTAAATAAAGTGTAGGACAAGAAGCTGAAGATTAACTAAGAAGGGAGAGGGGGTGGGGAAGGAGTGAGGAAGGGACTTAACCTCTGGATTGTTTTCCTTAACACGTGGGCATGAGGTCCAGGTTTGTAAGAGTCTGAGTTACCACCTGAGCAAGGCACCGGTGCTAGGCATCCTTGCAACACCTCTCGGCATCAGCATCATTTGCTAAGAGTCAGCTGCTGTTACTGTGCTTTTAACCCTTTGGAGGATGTCATTAGGTTCTTGATTTCAATTGACATGAACACAGCCTGTCACTCAATATATTACAGGGAGTGTTAAACATGTCTAGATCTTTATAAACCTTAATTTATACTGCGTATAAAAGGGAAAAGTAAAGATATTAATGATTGCCCAGTTAATTTAAATCCCTCCAATAGATGAGAAAGACAGCTTTGTGTAGTTTCTGTCTCTGAAAATTCTAAAAAACACAGAGTGCACTTTTTTCTGGGCTTCTCAGTTAAATCTGAGTCCAGGAAAGAGGAAGCTAGTCCAGCATTTCTCTTGATACAGAAATCAAAGACTGAGCTTCAGATGAGGCTTTAAAATGCACTGACAACAGCAACCTGCCCTCCACGCTGCTACTCTGTCTTCCTTCTCTACTTTCAAAGTTATTAACGTTCAAAGTGACGTTCCGAGTATATATAGCATTGAACAAATGGAGATATACATTCACACAAATATACACATTTATATATCACAAGAATAATTTTGTGAAAAATTTTTTTTACTAAATATATGTGGACAAGAGGTTACAAAGTAAATATTAGTCCCAAACACTGAAATGAGGAAATCTATTTAACATAGAGAATAATCACATTTAGGTATTTTCAAGTGTATCATATACCAATCTAGGAAGAAAAATATAAATTAGTAATTTGCAGACTTTTCTAAATTAAATCTTCATAGTCAAATGCCTGTCTACAAGAGCATTTATAAACACAGAGGCTTCTTTTCCTATTTGTAACAAACAGTTTATAAGATCTGCGCTTTAAAGTCAAGAAACAGTTTTCAGATAAAAAGAGTTTGGTTTTTACTGCATCTGTAGTTAAGTAAGATTTTACAGCAGTTGTTTATGGACCATCCCTGCTAGCTTAAAACTTAAAATTCACAGTTCGCGGCTGACACCATGAAGAATGTCTAAACATTTTTTTTTTTTTGAGTAAGGAGCTCTAGAGCATATTAGTCAAGATGCCATTTAACCAAAGTAGCCAGCTAACTCATTTCCATTCACCGTGAATCAGAAAACAGATCCCTCATGGTAGGGAATAATTAGATCTTAATCTTAAAAAGACTATGGAAGCAATACAGAATCGTTTGAAAGTAACTGAAGAATTTTTAAGTCTCTAAAAAAATATACATAAAATAGAAATAACAATAGCTAGAACAAGAATTTTACAGTTTGACTCACTATTTCATAAATTAAAAGTATACTTTTATTAATATTTTTCCCTTCAACAAATTTAAATAACGTGAACTTAGCATATCTCACGATTTCCAAGAGTGCCTGAATCCACATCAATGACACAACACATAGAATGAGCTTAGAATCGTTACTTTTTAGACACGGGAAGATTTTTCTAAAAAGAAATTAATGCTCCACATTAAAACAATACACTGCTTCCAATAAATTAGCTGAAATTATTATAAGATGAATGACATAAAAGAGATTTGACATACCAGCTTGTACTTAAGAAATTAGCACAGTTCAGATGCTTGAGCCATTAAAAATATTATTTTTTGAAGAAATTTCAGAGAGAATAAATAGTATAAATCTATTTAAGTATCAAGTGCCCTGAGGCCTTCTCTGGGGTGTGCGCGGGTGTGCGCGCTCTCAGGGCAGATCTGCCTATGTACTTAATGCTGGAAATGAACCTCTCATGTAAATATGCTCTCAGATGCACGGGAGCAAATCCATTACTCCTAGGCTTCAAATTCCTCAGAGTATCTGAAGTTTAAAGAGTACAATTCAAACACCACGAAGCGGTGCTTACCTTGGTCTTCAATTTTTGAATCTCTGCTTCTGTAACTGCATGTTTGATTTGCAACTGAAAATTGAAAAGAAAAACATCTCAACTAAGAGTGTTTCTATATTTTTAAAGACTCAGCAGCGAGAAGAATATCTTATGACACAATAATAATTAAAAAAAAAATAAAACAACCTAGAAACCTGCTGCATTGCAGCAGGTTGTAAATTACAATGTCTAGCATGTAAAATGACTCAGTGGGTGCAAACTAATTAAACACAGGGTTTATGACTCACGGCCCCTAATATCCGATTAAGTTACCAGTTTAATTGCTAAGGGGCCAAAGAAAAGAAAACTCATTTCTTGGCCTCTGCAACTCTTCCTTTATGATCTGAGCGTCCAGGAGCTGTTTCCTTGCTGAGGCTCGCCCACAGAATGGCTTGAGCCAGCCAGTCAACAGGCCTGGCACAGTGTGAAGATTCGGTTCCGCATCGTGCAGAAAGGTGGCGCTGTGGCTCTGTGAGTAGCTCTCACATTCCGCAGAGCAGCTCTGCTGCAGAGGAAGGAGGGGACGCAGTGGCACAGAAATCTCCGATTTGTTTTCGTTTGTGTTCCTTTTTAATCGCAGGGAAGGTACAAATTCAAATTTCTGCCTTCTAAAAGATCTACCTGTATAAAAACCCCCATTTTCTTTACAACACAATAGTCGTCTTTGCCATTTGTTTGCTTTACTCTCCTTCCCCAACCCCCGACTGTTTTCCTTCTAGGGGTCTTCAATGCCTCATTCATTTCTTTAAGGGCTAATCGCCATTGAATTTAAGGAAAACAGTTTACGGGGTTCAAAATTTGTTCTCTGGGTGTTTTTGATGGAAAGGATGTTTTTGAAATTCCCAATTCTCCCGGTTTTATCGGTCCAAACATGAATCTTTATCAGCCCACTGGAGGGTCTGGGGAGGGAGACACTCTGCAACCAACATCATGAACATTTTCTGCTAAGTGAGGCTTGTGGTACCCTGTTTCTTTTGGTTATATTGTATCCCTAGCTTGCCACAAAGTTAATCAAGACCACCATCTCCTCCTTCTCCCCACCGCCCCCTCCCCTTTTTTCGGTCCAAAGTACTTGGGAGTTAGGACTGTACAGAATCTGAGTTTCTTGGTTTTGTGCCATAATCGTAGTGGTCTGTCTCACTTAGGTACCGTTAGCAGGTACCCAAAGAGTGAGTGTGCCAGGCAAGGAAGCTACACCAAGCTTTCTCACTGCAAGCACTGGCAGAGGTCTTTTGTGCTTACCAGAAACCCTGGTCTATACAGATCTTCCAGATGCTTACAATGCTGGCCCCTCCGGCTCAGTACATAGAGGGCGCTCTAACTATAAACCCTTGTTGAGTACAATGATCAAGAGCCTTCAGGCTCCCAATGTGGGGAAACTGAGGCTCAGAAGAAATAATCAACCTGTCTAGTTGTACAACAATCAACACTAGAACTGGATTAGAACTTGGGTATCTAGGTTCTGATCTTGTGCCATTTCTCTTAAAAAATAAAGATGAGCTCTATAAGCATCTATTGAGGGACTCTAGGCGAGATGCTGGGAAGATAACACGCCTCCCTCAAATAAACAGTCATGCTAACCTGCCAGTCGAGAATAAAGCCACTAGAGGCCACAAGTACTTAGACATTGTGCATATTCTTTAATATAAAACATGGAGATATATATAGCCATAAGGAATTATTTTTCAGAGGTATTATATTGTTAGAGAATAAAGCAAATTCATATGCCTGGATGATTTTTTTCCGACCACTACTAACAAAAATATCTACTCTTTGTTGTTTAAAACATACTAATCTGAAAAGCTAGCCTGCCCAGCTTCATCATGTTTGCTGTGTGCATGTGATTGACATGCAGTAGGAATACTGATTAGCCTCTCACCGCACTTTTCTTCCATGCAAAATGCACTTCCTCATAGTTTATGACCATCCTCATTTCAACATTCAGTGAGAAAATCTATGTAAAGCACTTAAAGGACAGTGGCTGACTGAGAATTATTTATCCATAAATTCAGCCAGGACCAGAAAGAAAGAGCCAAAGCAGTCAAATATGGTTATTCCATTTCACTCAGACAGCAGAGGCACGAGGATTGCTGCAAGTTCAAGGCCAGTCTGATCTACATAGTCAGTTCTAGGTCAATCAAAGATGCACAGTAGCACTCAGACAAATGAAACTAAAAGTTTTAAGTGGTCGACAAAGCCACAGCTGATGTAAGAACACGTCTGGCTCTATCTGCAGGGCCTACTCTGCAGTAGGCACTGCGTTACAGGTGGGTGCCAGATGCCATTGTCTTGGGGTTGAACTTGAGCAGAGTGAAGGTATATGGCCTCCTGTGTGAGGGTCTACCACCAGTGACCTCTGACATTTGCTTATCTGCACCTCAGTTTCCCAAATCAAAACTGAGAGGTGGGACAGGAAGTGCTGCCTGTGTCATTCACATGCTCCATTTGGGAATTATTGAAAAAAATAAGCCAAGCATATTTACCATGGTCAGAATCTAGAAATTCATGTCACAAATATATTATCCTTATGGGCTACGTTCTAATTCAGTACCCTGAACTGTGGTTCAACCTATCTGAAGCATCTCTTTCTAATGGCAGGGAACAAACTAAGTTAGTTCCCTGACCTACGTCAAACCTATCACAAGCAAGCATCTTCTCTTTATCAGTGTACACCTTAGGTTAGTACCCTGAACTATGGGCAAACCTAAGGAGAAACCTGAAATAGCCCACAAGGTCTCTGGTCAGCCTGATGCTCTACTCTTATCAAAATGGATAACAGACGGGGCTGACCTCCTTAGCAGTGAGGTGACAACAACTGGCAAGAGCTTAATATTAGGAATGCCACCTAATCCTTCAGAGACAGGGACATGGAATGGAGTGTGCAATCTGGATATCATTCAGAAGATGCCAGCAGTAGTGTAAGGTTTTCTCAGTTGACACAAGATTACAGATATGTGATAATTTAAATCCTGGGTGCAATGTACATTTCAATGACTTGTTTACATATCCATCACTATTAATAGAAAAGGTATAAAAATACACAAGATGAACATTTCCAGCTTACACAGTAAAACACAGTACACAAGACTTTAAATTGCCAAGTGAATAGTTGCCAAGGCCAGTTTGTAGAAATCACAGCCCATAGTTCTGCTAATGTGGAAGTTTTCACATTGGCAGAAACCTACATGTTCTCCTTCAGCCCCCTGTATTACTTCAAGTGGCTCTGGAAGTGAGCAGAGCAGTTCTTGTTCCTGTCAGTGCTCAGGTGACAGAGAGACTCAGAGACATCAAAGGTATCCCGCAGCTTCTCCTGGGTGAATGAGGTACAGGAGGAACAACCCCAGGCCTGACTTCCCAACTTCTGCTTTTTCTGTGCTTCAGCTTGTCTAGCTGAAAGTGTTTCCCTGACTGTTAATATGTCTCATTCAGTTCTTATAAAGATCCTGAGGCACATGTGATGATCACTACCCTGGATGAGAAATCATGACTGACTATCCAGGCTCTGAGAACCTTACACAGAATGTAAACCAGCACACTATCGGCATCTGGAATTATTAATAAAACCCAGGGATCTGAGGAGACAGCTCAGGGGCTACAGTGCTCGCTGTGCAAGCAAGAGGCTCTGTGTGAGGAACTCCAGTGTTGAAGAGTGGTGGGTGCATGAGAACTAGCACTGAGTAGGGTAGAAACTGGAGGCTCCTGGGGTCACGGGCCAGTCAGCCTAGCCCAGGCTGTGAGCCCCAAATTCAGTGAGAACCGTTTCAAACAGTAAGGTAGAGAGCCACAGAGAAAGGCACCCATTGTGGACCTCAGGCCTCCAAACAGTGCATAAGTGAGTACCCCTCCCCCATATACACACAGAAAAGAAACATAAAAATAGGAAAGAAATGTAGAATATGTTCATTATTAAATTGGTTTTTGGTTAATGACATTAGATGCTGGGTATCCAGTCACTGAAGGCACATGAACATGACAGAGTTCATCTTTAAAATATGTACTTGTTACTTTCAGAGCCCGAGGTCAGCAGGTAATATTACAGGCATGGACAAAGAGAACTTGCTCCTGGTTGACTTCATTAGCCTTTTTCTCCTATCTCTAGGCCAGAGACTCTTGGTCTTTGTCATCTTTTGTAAACAAAGTAGCCAAGATTGGCTGGAGACCCCTGCATCATAGGGAGGAACAACATGCTTTACCAAGTAATGAGGGAACATGGCAAACACAGCATAATCAGGAGAAGGTTGAGAGTATGTTTCTCTCAGCGCTTCTCCAAACGATTGCAGGCCTGCGATCTTGGCTGACGGGAACTAGCTCCGCCATCTTCCCTGTTAAACGGAGCATCCCAGTATCCACCCTGGGATTTCACCAGAGACAAATGTACAGTTCCACATTTGTGAGCAGGAGGTCTGTCCTCACACTCTCTAGCTGTACTGATGTCTGTGGGCTCTGTCTATCGCCTTCAGTAAGATGAGCGTGGAGCGCGTACAACTGTAGCTGGTTCAAATGTCTACATATGACTACCAGAAAGGGGCAGGCACAGACCTCACCAGCATCAACGGCAGCACTCTCCTGAGCCTCTGCAGGCATGGAAATATTTTTGAAGTGAAAAATGTTATCTTTGCAGGAGAGTTTTAAGAGTGTTCTAGAACCAGACAATTTCTAATCAGATAAGAGCAAAATTTTCTGCTCTCCTTGCGCCAGGGCAGCAATGCCTGGTATTCGCACACTACTCTGAGAGATGGTTTCTGCACTGTGTAGACTTTTTACCATAGTTTCTGCACGGGACTGAGCCCTGCTTTGTCTGCAGGAGGTGGGCCCAATAGAAGGAGCTAGAGGTGGTTTTGAAGATATATGATGTTATTAAAATGTAGCGCTGGCAAATCTTTGCCATTTTTTGTTCTAAGCTTCATAGATGGTGGGTGGTTTTTTTTTTGTATCGACAAAAGTGGGTTTATTTTCAAGGAACAACATATGCAAAACAAGCTGGAATTAGCTGGTGGAGTCAATTCAACCTGGTTGGAAGGTCCCCACCAAGG